TGCTATTGCATACCACCAAGATCCCAGCAGAATGGCCAATTTTTGGTGGTATGCAATAGCAGTCTTTTCTAAAAACGCTTCGACATTACGAGTATTGGTGGAGGGATATGCCACTGTGCACCGAACATAGCATAGCATGAGGGAACATATACAGTACCTGTAAGAGTTCGCTCTGAGTCTGCTCCAATGAATAGACCTAGTCGGTTTTCCCTTACCATTACAGTATCCGCAAGTCCCTTGTGTCCAGTGTGGTGCCGACCCCGGAAAAACGTCTATGTTCTTATTATGATTTGTTGCTGATAGCGCCTCGGCGTGCGGCAGAGGCAATATCTGTACGTGGCTCCTTCGATCTAGCTGCATTTTGAGTCTGGGCGCTGGCCATTTGTCGGTTCGATAGGCGACTGGTAGCTTCGTTGGGGTTGTGTACGAGTAGATACTCTTAGAAGTGCAGGGAGGAAAGGCTCAGATTTGAGGTGTGAAAGGATTGTGGTCTGAGCCTCGTGATAAGACGTGCCCCTACTCCCGATACCATACGGTACTTGGGGGCCCGGGGCTTTTGTTTTGGTGATTATAAAAGCTGGGCAAATAATAATTTCATATTGTAGCTAGCTTGCCACATGGGCAGTGTTAAGTCTGACCGATACTCGAGTATTTGAGATGTGGGATCCACCAATCCATTTGCATAGCCCGGGTTCGGGACCAAGCGAACGAAGCGGGCCTAAGGGGTTGTCAGAAACTGACAAATCCCATACTGTAGCGTAAGTTACCGAAGACCAAAAGCAATCTAGGAGGGGAGGACTGAAAAGGACGACCTATGATTTGTGAGGTGGGGTAGCGGGTGGTAATCGAGATCTGGGCCCGACGACAAATGAGATTCACAAGGCATTGCCGAGGTCCATGACAAAAAGGTACTGTACGAGTACTATGGTGCCATCCCAGCCCCGTCCTACGACAAAGTGGCAATATAATTTTTTTCTTCGGTCTTCCGTTCGGAGCGGGCCAAAGGGAGATGTCGGTGGTGTAGAGAGGAAAAATTCCTCCGTTACCACAATTCCAATCCCCCCCTTTGAATTGCCCCCCCCCCACAAGCAAAGCAGCAAGGAAGCAAAGAGGAGAAAGAAAAAGTCCGTCGGAAACGTACTTGTAATATTATACGTGGAGAGAAAACATGCGCAGGTGAGTCGTAAGAAGGTTCCCGAAAGGTGGTAGGTATCACTACAGAGATCAACTCTCCTCCAATTGAACTGCCGGTATTGCGTGAGCGGGGTGTGTGGCTAACACCATGAGTACCGGTACTAGTTTAAATATCTGTCGTCGGCCCCTTCTTCGTTCGAGGGTTCATCTTCATACGACTGCAAACACTACCTGTACGCTTACGACACTTGGAGGCACTCGTTCTGAGTCTACTATAAAATCACTGCAATCACCCCTTCCCATTCCATCCTCCCCTTTCCGTTCCACCACTCCAACATCCTCACTTCACTCTTCTACACCTAAGACTTTTACCAAGAGCTTCCATCAAACATCTTTCAACATGGTTCATATCATCAAGGAGTGAGTGGAATCAAGGATATCCTCCCGAATCCTCTCCCTTATGGCTCGAAAAGTTACTAACACTTCTCAAAGCTCCGAGGATTATAAGAACGCTATCAAGAACAAATTCGCCATCATCGACTGCCATGCAACCTGGTGTGGTGAGTGAAATTAATACAAACCCTCTGGTAATGATTGACCCTGTGGCATGCTGACATCATTTGCAGGTCCCTGCAAAATGATTGCTCCACACTTTGAGAGGCTCTCTCGTGAGGTCAAGGGTGTTGAATTCTTCAAGATGGACGTCGACGAGGTTCCTGACGTTGTTGCTGAACTGGGTGTCCGTGCCATGCCCACTTTCCTTTTCTTCGAAAACGGGGTTAAGGTTAATGAGTTTGTCGGTGCTAACTGGAGAGGTCTTGAGGTTTGTGCTACGCATCGAATCTTATTGATTTTTCGGGACCAACTAACACTTTCTGAAATAGGCTCATGTCTTGGCCTACCGTGAGAAGCCCAAGGCCGAAGAAGGGGCCGCCTCCTCTCCCTCCACTTCCCAGTGATTTTACACTTGAATCGACTTTCCTTTTGTTTGGGAGTTCCTTCTTTTCATGGGCGCAGCTTCTCCTTCTTATTACTCTGCTGGTTCACGGGCATGACGATTTTGACATGGTTCGGTGTTTTTTTCTTTCATAGGTCTTTCGTCGTGAAAATGGTTTATTGATATCGTTTGTCCGACCTCCTTTTGTAGTGGTTTCAACTTGAGTTATAATAAAACAGAGCCCCAAGTTGAATTTTAAAAGCAAAGAGAGCCAAAGGAAGCGATTTAGGCGTGAAACTACAAAAAGATGATTCTAGACATAGAGCTCCTTAATGCCCGCTGTGATAACAGTAGTACCTTTCTCTAACCCCGCATCTTTATTGCCAGAAGCGTTCTCCTTTTTCCTTTGCTTCGCAGCTGCCTTCCGTCTGGCCTTTTTCTCGCGGGGGGTTTCTTTCTTTAGGTGCGGTGGTCGCTGTTTCAGGATTTCTTCAGTTGCAGAACCAGAGTCCTCTGGACCGCCCCCCGACCCAGGATTGCCTCCAGAGTCCTCCCTAACCCTTATACGAGCCGATGCTCGGGTGCCTATCTTCGGGGTCGACCTCTTGGGGGTATTTGTGCCATTTGTATCTGCCGCTAGACCATTGACTTCATCCGCATTATCTTGGATTTCAGGGGATACTTGTGCGTCCACCTTTTGAGCTTCTTTCCCCTTTACCTTTTCCCCCTCTCCTAGAGTTACGTCCACCTTTTCCACCTTCACATCTTTGCTCTTGTTCGCATACCCTTTCTTCTCGCTTACCTCCCCCTCCTGCTCCCCCTCCTCAACGTCCAACAACCTTGAAACCGCCGCGTCGATATTCCCCTTGGCCTCCTCCAGAGCTTCCCAAATCTTCCCCGAATCCACCAGATACGGCAAGCTTGAGGTCACGGTTTCCACCATCCAAGGCCGCACGTAGGAGGTATTCGCCAACTTCTTCTCCTGCTCCTTACGCCCTTCCTCGGTTAAGGGTACCGGGGAAACGTTCGGGAGTCCGGTGTGCGGTCCGTCTCGGTTCCGAACTGACGAGTAGTGCTCCCATGTCTGTGATTGAACCGCATTCGTGATTTGCATGAGCTTAGAAAATTGTTGTTCATCTCTCCCGGGTGTGTTTTTTTTTTCAATTCAATCACTCATTTTTTATTATGACTCCGTCCCAAAAAGGTTTAATACGGATGTGGTGTGTAGGGCAGTTGGAGCATAGGAGGGCAGACAGGGGGGGTTATATAGAACTTACATGGTAGGCAATATGCAGTACTTTCTTCCCCTTCCCCGAATCTCGTCTTCCCCCTCCTCCTTCATGACCACCTCCCTCCCCACCAGTAACAACGTAAGCAAAATCCCTCTGGTAAATCTTGACGTCGCACCCATACTCCCGTGCGAACGCGCTGATCTCCATATTATCACCGTAAACCCCAGATCTGGCCATCCTGTTCAAGTGCTGTGCGAACGCAACGTCAATCGCGCTCTCACTCGGCAGCGCAGCAGCAGTAACCGCGGCGTTCTTACCGTTATTATTCTTCGCTGCTTTCCGCTTGGGTACACGCCGGGTTGGGCCTACGTTGAGGAAGAGTTTGAAGTAGGAGGCATTGTTTCGCATATCTACGACTCGATTATCAGAATGGATGTAGAAGGAAGGGATGGAAGGGGGGGGGTAATCTTATCATACGTTCAACAACCTTCTCCCGAATATCCGAGTGACTGTTTTCATGCCCGTATAACTATCGTATCGTAAATCCATAAGCCATCGTTTCCGCGCACAAAAAGTATGAATGGGAAGAAGAAGAGGGCGTGCCTGATCACTAAGCGCATGGAAAAGACAATTCCCGTCGCCGGAGATGTCGGACGCGTAGAGTCCTGCCCCCTCGAGTAGTGGAAATTCATCGGAGTAACTCATTTCTGGGTTGGTGGGTTTTGCTTCCTCTGCTTTTTTGTGGTGGTGGTTGTGGTGGTGCTGAGTGAGATTTGGGGTCGGAAGGTGAGAGTCGGTATATACGAGTGTGATAAAAATTTAATACATACAGGTATTGTAAATCTTTGCTAGGTTGTTTGGCACAACTGGCAATAACCGATTTGAAGAGGAGTTTTCCCAGGCGGCTTGGCGGGTGTTTTTTTTCTTCTTTTCTTTTTTCGTTTTGTTTTATAATATTATCAAGGTTCGATTTAGTAAGGCAGTAGTAAATAGCTTGAGCCCAGATTTCACGACGGTTGAGATATATATGGCAGGAGGTTTTGGGAGCGGAATGTTTAAAGGTTTTGTTCTATTTTTTTTTTAGCCTCTTGTTCGGTTTGGTGAGGAGAGTTGATGTCACGGCGGGGTGCAATTTAGTCTAGTTGTCCTAAATTAAGGCGAACAAGACGTGATCTGCTGCGCCTTATGTTATATTAGGGATACCGTTGTGGCCTAAGGCCTAAGTCTGCGGGGATACTTTGTTTGTGATATTATACACTCTACTTTGTGCTTAAGAGATACTGGTATTGAATCCTTGATATAATGGTGGGGTTGGTGGGGGGTGTGGGGGGGGCATTTTGTGTATACCTAGAAATTTTTGTCGCGCCGTTGGTAATGACTTGAGTAAAGTGGTATGATAGAAGAAAAACAACTTATTTGTGCACTTCCCGGCGGTAGTACGAGTACTGGCACGCAGGATTTATGTCCATCTTTTGGAAGTTAAATATTGATATGGTACAAGGAACTTTCGACATGAGTACGGCACACCGATCTCTCGTCACGAACTCTCACTCGAATATTGGTAGTATCTCGCTCACTTCCTTGCTACTGTACGGGACAGCCTGTATCGCGCAAATGAGTCGGGTGGGGGGGGGGTTCATATCGCCAGAATCCGGGTGTCAATGAAAATATTGTGGGTGAGAAATGAAGGGTGAAAAAATCATCTCTCTAACCCACTAAGAACATGAGTTCCTCCGGATCATTCCACCCACAGGACCATTGTGTCAAATCCTGAAAACCGGTGTCAATCATATATAATATAGACTAGAGTATCTACGAACTCCATCTTCATTACGCCAAACAACGACAGTGACACGACCAGCTATATATATATATTTACAGACTTTTCGAGTCCAGCGCAGACAATCCAGATTTATACTCCCTACTCATTTCGTGCTGCCCTCATTCCTAATAATACCAACCCGTGATTCCAAGTGCGAATGTCATCACGGACCGTTCCAGCATCTCCGATGACAGCCCGGGCATGATGGTTTTTGAGTGAAAGGGAAACGTTGCGACGGACCTTGCTGGCTTCAAATTCCGGCACTTTGTTCATGCTCGAAACAGAGGTTGGTAAAAAAGGTCGTATTGTATATTTTAGAACACCTCACTGCTCATTAGGAGGGGGGAATTTGTGGGATAATTACTGTGCAGACGTAGTTGACAAGTTCTCATACCTTCCCTGATACTTCGGGAACTGTATGATGCCAATTAAACAACGAGGGAACAAGAAGAGTCTTTTAGAGGACTGTTTTCGGGTATGCTTCTAGGGATGTGGTAAAATTTGGTCACAATTTCTTTTGTTGAATCATACAGGCCGGGGGGGGGGGGGGGAAAACTTTTTTAAGGGGTGGGGGACTTGGTTTTTAAAAGGGGGGGCCGCAATGTTGATCCCCACCTATTCGACATAGCAGGATGGTTTAAAGGGGTTCTACAACGCTGAAATATGTTATGTTGAGCTTTAAAAAAAGAGAATTTGAAGTTCAAGTTGCTAGAGGATTTCAAATATAGATAGCTAGTAACTTAGTCGATCAGTTTTGGTTTGACAGTGGGTAGTTCTCTCCTAAAGTACTCACTTGAGTAGACTAGTTCTTACGGTACATCAGATATTGAGCGTTACAGATAGAGCAACTTGAACATTCCCAATCTCGATAAAGCATAAATTCAATTTGAATACTTGGGTGGAAAAAAAGTGTTAAACCACATCCTAGGCCACCCCCCCGCACAAATGATAGTGAACTGCACCGGCATAAGTACGCGTTTCCTTGGAGGAGGGGGTAATGGACGAGAGGGTCCTCCCCACGCGTGGGAAAGTAGTTATTGTGGGGAATGGGGTCTGCGTTATGATTGATGTCTCGGGGACTGATGATGATGAGGGGGAAGCTATGCATTTGACAGGGAGGGTAGCAAGGTAGATGGACGGTTGTTGGGGGATGTTTTCAATTGGGGAGGTGGACTTGCTGCCTGCTGAGAGGATTATGAAGAGAGCGGTGGAGTCACGCCCCGGGTTTGTGAAGGAGGGGGAGAGAGCGGAGAGGTTGGATGTTGTGCAGCATAGCTTTGGGTTGGGGTCGTATCGGGCTGGTGCGGCGAGGATCGAGTGAGAAGTTATTGGGCGGTGTAAGGTTGTACACAAGTATGAGGCCTGCGGGTTTAGGTGCAGGTGCCCTATTTAGATTAGTGCTTGATGGGTTAGCTAATGTCTCCGGACCAAGCGAGTTATGGAATGGCGGAGCCACTTGTAGATAAGTCATTTAGAGGAAGGCAGGAGAAGCTATAGCACCTCGTACTCAGGCACTGGTATCATGCTTCAGATAAACCAATAGCGAGAAACTGTGAAGGTTTTAAAACAATTAATGTCATTCATTTCTGCAACTATTGTGTATAGTGAGCAAATAAATAGGAAATCAATTCAAACGCCATGAGGAGACCGAGAATATCCACAAAGTTAAAAGAAAACTCATTACCACCCGATAGTCCCTGGTCCCTTTCCAGTCCGATCCCTCCAGCCTGCAGTCTATTCATCCACTTATTTGTTCCACCATTTACTGCTCACCAGGTTTCTTCGAGTTGCACGAGACAATTTTAACCTTGTCTGCAGAAACGCTCGAATTTGGCCCTTGCCCTCCCTGGAACTTGAAAGTAACGTCCTTAATCAAGAAGGTCCAGACCTCATCACAGAAACGATAGGTGTCCAAGTGACCCTAAAAATACACGGACGCAGATGAACCCGTAGCGATTAGCTCATTATACCCCCCTCTTTTGTTTGCTCCCATGGCGGTGGGCCGGGTAGGTAAACAAGGAAGTGAAAATCGAACCTTGAAAGTCAAGTTGGCCTTAACCTTATCAGCGAGGATCTCGGTAATGCCGCGGTCAAAGTTCGACAGAATTTTCATGGCGAGTTGCGGGGCAATACGTCCCTCGCTAATCAAATCGTCGAGCGCATCCGTGAGGGCCGTTCCGATACTAAGACCCATCCATGCCTTGTTAGCCAGCAGTAAGAGCAGAAGGAGTAAGGCGACAACAGTGGTGATAGGGAATTAGAGAGTACCTAGAACGGCGATAGAGCTCGTAATAAGTTTGATTGTTCATTTTGCAAGGGTTCTGGCGGCTGAACGGGGTTTGAGTTGGATAGGGGTTGAGGGGTGGTGGTGGTGGTGGTGTTTTTGAATCAGAGAAGTTTCGTTAAGGTTGTCTTTATGACGGCAGGTCTTTGATGTTCCCAGTTCTATCATAGACTACGAGTACAGTACTCTGTGCGAATACTATGACAAAGCTTTCGGGTCAACTTCTGCCAAGAGAAAAGCTTTCAGTAATTATGTTGCCCTAATTTAGTTTGTCATTGATTTTGGATTTGTAGGGCTTAGGGTTGCTACTCTCTTAGTTTTTGCGTAATGGTCCCTTGCATTCTTGGCGGGTGTTGTGTACGAGTATTGTTATTTTTGAGTGCTTGAAAGCACTAGTGACGTGGCTGGCAGGATTGGCTGGGTTCTGCTGCTGGGTTACGGTTTTGTCTATTGTTACTCGCAGCTCCACTCCCCCATACAGCACCTCCCGCCCTGACCGTGTACAGTACGAGTAAAAGAGACGGGAACGGGGTGATCCGTGACTAATGGAATGATACTGGTGAATGATGGAATTGAGATGCTGTTGGATGCTGTCGAATGGAGTGGGCGAGTTGTGATGGGGGAATGAAAGGTTAGTTAGAAAGCTTTCTTCTAGGTACAGTACTCGTATATTGAATCTTGGTAAGGCTCACTGCCACGATAAGATTATGATACTTCTTCGATCGAAGGGTCCTGATAACTTGTGAACTAAATTGCGTCGCGTCTTCCGCCCCACTATTGTAACGCCTGCCCCTCTAAGGTTCCAACATCTACCCCGCCTCATCTTACAGAGTGTAGTTCCCCTCTCGCCTTCTCCAAGCCTACCTCCAACTCTTCCTTCTCCACCAGCCCCCCTATCCACACCTGTCCCCCTTGCTTTACTCCTCATTCCCTCGAATATTTATCCTTCGCCTTCACGCTCTCTTCTTCCGCGCCTCACAAAAACGATCCTCTCCCCCCCAAAAAAGCAAGATGTTTTCAGGAACTAAAGGACCCGGCGAAGCGGAGGCTCTAGATGGTAAATTCCCAGCACATTCAAATACCCCCCCCCCCCTGAAAAACAAAAAACACGGTCCCTAGAATTAACCAAGAACAAAATAAAAATGCAGGCACCAACCTCCGCGTCCTCATAGTTCATGCCCGTTGGAATACCAGCCTCATCACACCACTCGTTGAAGGAGCACGTAAAAGGCTCCAAGAGCGTGGTGTGAAGCCTTCCAACATCATCACCCAGAGCGTCCCGGGCAGCTGGGAGCTTCCTATCGCTGTTCAACGGTTCATACCACTCCTCCTTGTTCACAACCACCATCTATCTGCCGCCCCCCCACATCTAACATAAGAATTGAATGAAAAAAATAGTTTGTACTCTGCCAGCCAAGTCCAAGCCTCGTCCGCCCCCTCGGGAGACCTCCTCGGTGGACTCGGCCGTAGCTCAACTCCAGTTCCTGGAGCGAGTTCTAGCAGTAAGGGGACATTTGACGCAATAATTGCCATCGGCGTGCTCATCAAAGGTGATACCGCGCATTTCGAACACATCGCGGAGACTGTCTCTCGTGGACTCATGAGGGTTCAGCTGGACTTTGGTGTTCCGGTTATTTTCGGTTTGCTCGTACGTTTCGTGATTTTTCTACAATTCCCTCTACTCGAGATTCCGAAGGGGGGGCAGGAAGAGAGAGAAACCAAGTTGCTGACGATGAATGAATTTGATGCGAGGGTGCAGACTGTCTTAAACGAAGAGCAGGCAAGGAAACGCGCTGGATTGACTTCCGATGGGCATAACCACGGTGAAGACTGGGGAGACGCAGGTATGATATGATGGATTTTTTTGCCCGTTTTGGTTGGATTAGCGATGCTAACTTGGGTTCTATAGCTGTCGAGATGGGAGCCAAGAGGAAGCTTTGGGCCGATGGCGTTATTGGATAGGCTTGAGTTATAAATATAAAATAAATTAAAGTCACTGGAGCCGGGTTTATTGATTAATGGGTTCTCAAAGATTCGCTGTGGAGTTCGGGGCTTGGTACCGGGTGTAGGATCGTGCGCAGAAGCGAGTGATAATTTGTGACCTGTTAAAAAAAAATTTGGTATTGAACTGCTGAGTTTTATATACAGTATCGCGGGCTCATGAGTACATTGACGCACAACCAACACTTCACCGAGACAAAATATCCCTCGAGAACCAGGTCCGTCTATTCGTTTGCCGCCATATTCGCGAGCTCACCCGCCATCCTCTCCATATAAAACCTCCTCGCAGCTTTCGGTAACCTCTCAAACTCCTTGCCAATCCTACCAATCATTGTTCTCCCCTTCTCATATGCGGCCAAGTCCTTATTACCGTAGACATCTTTACTGGAACTGTACCCATGCTCGAGGCTCTTGAAAAACACGTTAACAGCCACGCACAACTCCAAAGGATATGCTGCATGCGGCCACAGCTCAGGAATAAACAAAACATCTCCGGGTTTCAAAATAGTCTCCATAGGGTGAACGCCGTCCGGTTCCAACTCTGGGTTGAAAGGATTCTCAATCGTTGAGGATGACGCACCGGGCGGAAAGCTCAGCTTAGTGATGTCTGTCGGTGGATATACTTTAAACCGTTTGGTTCCATGGATGTGGCAGAGGAGGTTGGCCATCACGTCGAAGTGCAGCCACATCCCCACTTCCTTGGCGGATATGCGGAGTGGCGAGCTATGTTCGTGGTCCTTTGCGAATTGGAGTTCTGGAGGGATGGTGAAGTCTTCTGCGAGTGATGGGAAGTCTTGGGTGAGCTTGGCTGGGTCGGTTTTGGGACTTGCAGTGGAGAGGGAGCGGAGGTAAAGGTTTTCTGGCGAGGACCCGCTTGTTATGTCGTCGATGAAGTCGCCGAAGGTTATGTTTTTGTAGCTAAAGTTTTTGACATGGAAGTTCATACTTTTGGCTTGCGAGGTGTGAACGATAACCTGTGTCTCGCGCGTTGGCCCTTGTATCCCAAGCACAAACAAAATAGTTGGAAGAAATACGTACCCGTCTTTCCGAGCCAATTGCAGCTTTGAGGTAGCTAGGAGTCCACTTCCCAACACATTCACCAATACCCAACCCTTCAATCACAACAGGCTCTCCGGCATCTCTAACCTTCCAAAAGTCTTCCTGGCTCTTTATTATGACTCTCCTAATTCCAGTCATCAATGATTCTCCCTCTCCCGTAGATCCAACTTTGTTGTCTAAGTCCGTGGTGGATATCGTTCTATGTTTCTTCTTCTGTAATACCTCCCCTTCTTCCAAGACTTTCCATTCCCGGGTTGGTGGCTCTACGCCGGGTGGGATAATGGTCCATATCCCTTCGTTGAAACATCCTCCAAAGTTGAAACATACACCCCCGCCCCCAACAACACAGAAAATCCCCTCGCCAGCTGGTAACACCTGGTGCCCTATTAGAAAAGGTAACCTTTCCCCAGGCTCACGGTATGCAACATCGATTCCCTTTGCTGTTAGTTTTTCACAATGTACCTCCACCACCTCATCTTCAGTCTTTAGCAGCGCCCCACCGGAAACACCGCCGATGATCAACAACCTTCCCTCTCCCAAGTAGGTCGATTTCGCACCAAACCGTCTTAATAAGGTCCCCGTGGAGCGCGAGTTGATAGAACACCATGTCACAACGAGCCTACTATCGTCTACTATATCAAGCCTCCACATATCCCCAAGGACCTGGCCCTTATCATCCATACCACCGCTCAACACTCCATATCCTCTATCGGTCCAACATAAACTAGCCCCAAATCTCGGAGATGGCTTTCGTTCTGCGTCAACTGTCAACTCCTTCCAGCCCCTATCCCCATTCCACAAAAACCACTCATCCAAAACAACGTTTCCATCGCCCTTCCCCCCACAGATTAGTATCTTCTCCGGCCCAACTGCAGTAGCGCAGTGCCTATACCTACCCCGGGGAAGACTCTCGACCTTCCTCCAACGCCCGGATTCCGCAATCCAGGCGTCACTCAGAGGCATGTCCGGCGAAGCTCTTCCACCGACCAACAACAGCTTTTCTGGCGCAAGCTGGGTAAGTGTATGGGACGTCCTTGCGTTCGGGCCTCGCCTATTCGGCGCCGGGTGTTCTTTATAGAATCTGAGGGACTCCCTGTGCTCGCCTTTAGTAATAAGTAGAGATGTCCCTCCCCTTGTAGATAAGCCTAGTCCTCCGTGATAAACCCATTGGTTATCCTCCCATTCCGCCGCAGCACCCATCCATCGCCTTAACAATGGGAGCGCTGCGAACTCGCCGACGTATCCACCCTCGATCCTGGGTTCTTCTGAACTGTGGGCTCGCATCAGAAATGGTCTTTGATCCGGATGAGAACAGTAGTCTCCACCTCTCCACCTTATCCCTTCTGCCCGGAATGGTCCTGGATCCTGCTGGCGAACTCCTCCGGTTCGTGCATGGGTAATAAAATAGTGTTGGCAAAATACTAAGAATTCTTCCCACTCATCAAAAGGCTCTACTGATTCCAGATGCTTTCTTTGGGAATCCGTCACCAAACTGCTCCAAAAGGCTAGGAGATCTAAAGTATCTACTGTTTCCCAGCCTCCACTTGCAAACCGGGTAACTTGATCGGTAAGAGTAGGGTACGTCTCAATTGATTTTAGAGGTGTAGAGAGGTTGCTGAAGTGTTTTAACATGGTTCTGGCAAATGGGTGAGATGGCCCTGACGGCAAACACTGCTCCATTATTGAAAAGCGGGCTATGGTTCATGAGCAACTACGATTCACTGATGCATTCACATGCCCTTGAAACGAGGGGGATAGCTTTACCATCTGGAAGAGTAGCTGTCCATGCAATGAGCGCGTCGACTGCGTCCCAGTCCACGTAGGCAAGTGATATTTCGGCCGTGAACAATATGGCAGCATTGCCAATCAATCCACCGTCCACGAGTATACGCTTAAGCTTGTCAAGTTCACGAAGATCACAACCAATGGCTAGATACTGCGAGCTCCGGTAATGGACATTTCCTACAGGCGGGTCGTGAAGCTCTGGATTCTTGAGAAGGTTGTGGAGTCCTGGGGTGTTAGATATAACGCGTGACTTGACAGCAATCAGGTCAGGATAATCAAGGTCAATGTATAGTATGTTTTCGAGGCCCTGCGTGCTTGAGATGAATTGAAAGGGGAGAGGGTCACTAAAAAGTGAGGAGGTGTGTATCAGCATATCAAGATCATGAACTCCCACTGAATGGGCCAGGACTGTTGGACGGAATGGGAGAACCTACTATCCACAGCCAAGATTGATCACAATCTTCTCCCGTTTAGGGTCTGGAAGTTCTTCAACGATGAATGAGCGAACAACATGCTCTACGGCCTGCATTTGTAGCCAATAACAGCGGTTTATCAGAGAAGAACGTCTTTGGGGTTTTTTGACGAAGTAACGTAGAAATTGAGGTTCTTCTGGTTTGGAGTAGAGTCTTTCGACACTTCTCTTGCTGACAATGGAACTGTTGATTATCTGTTTGTAAGTCAGTCGGGGCTCCGGAGAAGGGACAAAGCTTGGGAATATGTGGAGCACCTGCACTTATTATTGCAGCATCTCGTCTCTTTATTTCGCTGGTGGGGCCATTCTTTTTAGCTGCCCGGGCTGTGTCAGCGTCCATGATGATGAAATATGGTAAAACGCCGGAGATTTGAATAATGACGCTAGAATGTAAGCCAGATTACTCTCCTGAACAGTTGTCGGGGCGGAAGAGACATGGGGGGTTTTCTCCCTCGTAATTTACTTTTTTGTGGAGGACTCTGCCCTGATTTATGTGCTAGTTTTCGTGGGTTGGAGGGGTTGAAGCCAAGACTGCCAAGACACCCAGATGGCTCCTTTCACAACGGCTGCCGGCGTCTGCGGCTAACAACTTCTCCCAGCGTGCTGATGGTTTTGTCTGCACCCCCGCCTCCTCGTTGTTCATCTACCATGTCTTTCTCTGATTGACTGACTTGACACCCACGAAAACTCAACCTCCCTCCTTCAGTAACTCCCCACAATACTATCACCCCGGAACCAAGGCGATCATTCTACGGCCGGGTTCTTTTGCACGTGCATCGCCATCGTTTCAGACAGGCCACAGCCTTCCCGATAAAAACCCCCGTTCCGACTCAACCTTCACCTCACCGGTACTTACCCTCCGCATAGTAACATCGACCACAGAAAGCTAACACTCGCTCATCAAAGCCATGAACTTTGTCACCTTCAATCAGGATTTCTCGTGCTTGGCTGTTGGCACCCACCATGGCTATCGAATATATAATTGTGATCCGTTTGGCAAGGTTTACGAACAAAAGGAGGGCGGGGATGTCACCATAATCGAAATGCTCTTTAGCACGTCACTCGTCGCTCTTATTCTTTCCCCCCGCCGGCTCGTCATAACAAACACAAAGGTTGGTACCCATGGTAACAAAGCTATTATTCCCCGAACGTAGTATCTCAGCTTCGAATCTGGTGTCCTCTTTGATCAAGCCCTGGCTAACTTGAAATATTACTCTATCGGAAGCGGCAATCCACGATATGCGAGCTCACCTTTCCAACATCTATATTGGCTGTCAAATTGAACCGAAAGCGTTTGATAGTGGTATTAGAGGAGCAAATATATGTATATGACATCAGTAACATGAAGTTACTGCACACGATTGAGACTTCACCTAATCCTACTGGTAAGACATCACACACACACTAAAACTCGAAGCTTCTTTATTGATATATGTTTTTCCCTAGCTATCTGTGCACTCTCCCCTTCCTCGGAAAAGTGTTACATTGCTTACCCACGACCAACGAACTCGAGCACCTCGCCATTCTCACCTCCGTCCCATACTCCCCCAGGTGTTAGCGCGCCTCCCGCGGCATCGGGTGATGTTCTCCTTTTCGACGCAATAAAGCTTGAAGCTGTGAATGTGATCGAGGCCCACAAGGCCCCGCTAGCTAATGTTGCTCTCAATAGTGAAGGATCTCTTTTAGCTACTGCCTCGGATAAAGGCACGATAATCAGGGTTTTTTCTATTCCTGGTGCTCAGAAACTCTACCAGTTTCGCCGAGGAACATATCCCTCGCGTATCTTCTCAATTGCTTTTAATCTTATGTCTACCCTGCTCTGTGTCTCGTCTGCGACGGAAACTGTCCATATATTCCGCCTTGGTGGACCAACCCCCCAAGAATCTTCATCTGGACCTTTCCGGGCTACTGATTCGGACGCTGGGGGTTCGCCGACGGGATCTGTCGCGTCATCTCCATCCAACCATGCTGGAGCTGCGGGAGGCGGTTTTGATCACTATGTAGAATCAAAACGTCGCAATGGCACCGGGACATTTGGCTCTATCATTAGACGCTCTTCGCAGCAGATTGGGCGAACAATTGCTGGGGCCGCTGGAGGGTACCTACCACATGCCGTGACTGAGATGTGGGAGCCAGCGAGAGATTTTGCTTTTGTAAAGCTTCCGAATGCTGGACTTAAGAGTGTTGTGGCACTGAGCAGTACAAGTCCGCAAATAATGGTTGTAACTAGTGATGGTTACTTTTATGTGCACAATGTGGACATGGAAAGAGGTGGAGAATGCGTACTCACAAAACAGTACTCGTTAGTTTCCCTTCCTTCACTCGACCTTTTGGGCATCAATCGGGCTAACCTCTTCTCTCACCTAAATCAGTTTGCTGGATTCAAGCGAGAAGATGGGGCAGAGCTTAATGTATGATTAACGATCCCATCCGGCAAGATTGAGTGAGTGAGTGTATGAATGAGGGCGTCCAGGGTCCAGGATCCACCAGCCGCTGTTTCCCACCTGCCCCTGGAGCGGTTGCCTGATGACCTTGCAAATACCTACGCTCCAATAGGCATGGACATTTGTAATCTATTCTTTTTTTTCCTTCTCACGTCTTTTTCCTATTCTCTTCTTCCATCCCCCTTATTTTTCTTCTTCAAGTTCAGGCAAACGGCGTTGGTTACTGTACCCTCTGGCATCATTTTACGGTAACGAGTGGCAAAGGGGCTTTCTCTTCAAATCATTTTGTTACGCTATCTCAAGCTTTTCCCTCATTTTTCATTCCCCTCATTTTTTTTACTTCCCCTTCTCACAAAGACTTCTCCCCCCCTTTTTTTTACATACTTACCCACTTCTACGCAATTAAAGCGTGGGTTCGAACAAGTTATAGAGAGGGCTTATTTATTAGTTTGTCATGCTGGCTATCAATTCAATTCAATATGTAGCTGTTATGCTATCAGTCTTTCACATAAGCTACGGTGACATATTGTAAAAAGTTCATGCGAAAGCAGATTATGGGGAGGCTTTCCCAAAGGCTCGCCATCCTGAAAGCAGGAGGCTTTTCGAGGGGTAATATATACCCCAACGATATCATACCAAACTTCACCCTCACCGGAAACCAAGCCCCCGCCGCAAGTACTCGAATACAAGGGAAATATGCCATGTCGTTGAACCTCCCGGGGATAGGAATAGGGAAAGCATCACAAACCTAGCCCTCAACCGAGAAAGGAAATATGATAAAAGAATTATAATGATATTATTATTATGATAATATTATTATCATACACAGCACGTTATGATATCATACTACGAGAGGGCAACCACAACCCCCTAGCACAAGCTCTTTTATATCATTCGAGTACGATACCAGAACCCAGGCTACGCAAGAAAAGAAAAGAATAAGCAACAGTAAAACTTCCTCCGAGTGAGACCCCATGAACCATCCCTCCATTCATTCATTCATCTACGGATCGGGGGCGGTGAGGTGTGACTACGGTAGCAGTGCTCGCGAACGGGACCGATATCGGTACGGCATCGCGTACAGTACAGTACAGTACAGTACATAACGGTGGTCGCGTTCACAAAAACCCGAACCCGGTTTCAATCACGAGTACCATATCACACTATACCATACAAACGCAGTGTTAATACCGGTTAGCCGGAAGGATGGATGGTACGAGTATCGTACAGTAAAGTACCGGCACTCGGGCTCAAGGCCATCGTGTGGGGAATGCGGTATGTACCGTACCGTATCGTACCGTACAGTTATCGGTAGATGAGATCGGCGATCATAATAAGTTGCCGGTTGCGTTACTCGAGTACTATACATTTCTCGGATCGGGCCGGGGGCTTATGATACAAGTGCCGGTAACAAGTAACATTAAACCCCCGACAGCCCCGTACTACCGTGATATACGACGATCCGGGTTGCCTACGGTAGTAACTCACGCTGGAGATCAGGTTGCGTGAATGTACGATACTGTACCGCATAGAACTAATCCCTCGAAACCCACTATCGTACTCGACGAAGCGCTAGATTGCCATCTCGGGAAGGAATACTGTAACGGCAATCACACCGCAAGAGAACAAAATGCGGTAGAATTACCGTACCGTATCGAGGGATCTTGTCAGCGAGTCACACCATACTTCGTACCGGTATCATACCTCGCAAAGCTATTTCTTACAAGTCTTTGTCACGGAGATTGTCTGGAGACGGAGATAAAGCGGATTACCATAATATCATACGGGTTAAGTTTTTTCTTTTTCTTTCTAATCCGATCGTTTTCGGGTATGGTAGGATCTGAAGATGAGATGGGAGGTTTTTTTTTTTTTTTTTTCTTCTTCTCTTTTTTCTTTTTTTCGATTGGTAGTTTGTGTTGCCATAAGCTCCAGTCCTATTTCCAAGCAAGTTACTGTACTAATTGCCGGATACTACAACTTAGGGTAGAGTAACCCGGTATCGAGTTGAGCTTTTGATCGGACGGGATTAGTATAAGTGTTACCAAGGGTAGTATGCGCTCGGGCCTACCCTCTAGTACTCTAGGGAGGTTCAAAGTCCTCAGCGCACTCCACGACATACCCGGCATGCACAAATAGAAGTTGTAACCGCTCTGAAAGTCACCTGTGTGGAAAAACTGCCACAATGACAGGTTTTTAACCACGTACTAGTACAATACAGTACCCTATTTTCCAACCAAGCGATACACCTCTATCGAAACACCTGTATGATACTTGTAAGTACCTTCCGAGAACTTTGGAACCCCCCCTCCCAATCACGGGTATACCTGTACAAAGTATGGAGTTCATAAGAGGGTGATAGGCGTGAAACCTATGATACTCGTAGGGAAACCCGTACCCGGGGTTGAGCCAAGGAACCGTACTCGAGTACCGTATAAGGCTGTGTGTGGGTATGACAGAGTGGGGTGGGGGAGGGGAAGTATCATACCGGTATGATAGCAAGCAAGCAAGAAGTACCCGGAAACAGGGGTTCGCAAAATATATGGGAAAAAAAAAAAACATCTGTGCGTGTCTGACTGAACGCCCTCCCGTTTCCGGGTAGTTCTTGCCCGGGACGAAGTACTCGTACAGTACAGTACCTTATATCATACCCCGAAACCGGAGAATTCGCGAGATAGGGCGAGAAGATCTGAGCGTCCGTACAAACACACACGGACCCCATCTTTCGAATGCAAGTATCATACTCGAGCGCCGGTACCTCTTTACCCGCCGCGAGCAGCGTATTCATAGCATTATCACGAAAATTTACGTAATCCAGATCCCCGGGTGCCGTACAGTTACCCCCTCCGCCCAAGGTGTGGTATGATAGATAGAAGGATATCCCCTCTCCGGTCTGCAAAAGTAACGCCTGCAAAAACATATTCCTCCAGAAGCGTGATTACTATCCGAGTCTAGTCAATACCCGATGATATGATACCCCCCCCCCACCCCCTCACACAGCCCTTCCTCTCTCTCACGCACATCAAGCAGGGTTAGGGTTCCACCTCGAAACCCCCTAAAAAAATCATTACCCCATTCCCTACCTTGTCTCTCCCTAGCTAGCCCTTGCCACCATATAATTATGATACCATAACCGACACTCCGAGACGGTATCATGGTGAGATCGTATAGTAACTGCGCACAACCACCCCGGAAGCCGAAACGTCACACGGATGGAGAAAGAAAGAAAAGAAAAAACCCCCCTGAAACCAAACAGGAAGGGAGGGGAAGGGAAGGAAGGGGTGTGAAAAACCCGAAACGTTGGTGCGGTTGGCATTGGTTTCGTGCTCGGACGTTGACAAGGGTGGAGGAAGCAAAGGGGTTATACTATACTAGTACTTTACAGATACTTTGTACGAGTACAGTAATTTCTAGGATCAGTAGAGATTGATTAGATAACTCTAATTATTGTGTGTGTGTCCGTGTGCTTTATGGTCGGGATGGGGGCCGAAGGGGGAGGAGGGGTGAAACGCCCCGCCCGCTCGTTTGTGGGTGGGAAGGTTGGACATTGTGGAAGAAGAAGCGCACCGTGCCAAGGTATCACAAGTCTGATGCAAACGGCCGACCGAGGCTGACGAGTGAGGTGGGACGCTCTCGTCGTCGTCGTGGTCAAGTACTGTACGTGGGGTGTTGCAGGGAATGAGTATACTCGAGTATTCATTCCAACGGGTAAATCTCTCGCACTGTATTGTATCGTGGAATACCCGTCACTCAAACTATGCAGCTTCAAGTAACTTCGCTCCACTTCGTCTTGTCTCGACCCACCAGTACCGTGCTACAAAAATCCAAAGGAAAGGAAACGGAGCACAATACCGGTAATACGTGTACAGTACTCCTATCGTACTGAGTAGTAGTGCTATCGTGTGGTTGTGGCACGGTAATCTTCCGTTCCCGGACTAACTTGAGGTGAGGTGCAAAAAAAAGAAAAGGCTACTAATACAAAAGAGGACACGAAAGGAATACCGGTAGGATACACACCGAAGCTTCCCACCCCCAAAGCCCATTTATGAAATCTCAACTTCCAGTAAAGGGGAAGAGGGGTGGAGAGCGCGATAGATAAGGTGCGCAGTCATAAAAAAACACCCTACCGTGCAAGCAAGCAAGCACTGAAAACAAAATTTAATGTAAAAAATACAAAAAGAATCGAAAAATAAGTAAAAATAAAAAACATGCACACTCGACCCCCAAGTTACCGTTATTGTATGACGTTACTGTATGATATGATACCTTCCTATCCTACCTCACCAGACCGGGCAATTTGCCCATCTCATCCCGTTGCGCGAGTGGGGGGGTATGATAGGCTTTTCCCTTTCTCCGCTGAATCCATGAGTAATGGGGAAGGGGAAGAAGGGATGCACGAGTGGGTGAATAGACAGACCCCATGCAAAAGGAGAGGCAGGCCCAGCGGCACCCTGTACTCGTACACAGTAATCATGAAAGAGCAAAAGGGAAAAAGAAAATAATAATAGTAATATGAAAATGACTGAAGCCGACCCAAAGTGATGTCTAATAGCTTCTGAGCGTGCCAGAAGACTCCTTTTTGTTTTCAACTCAAACCCTCCTGTGCAACAAGCGCCTTAAAAATAACTAACAAAAGGAAAAAGGAAAAGAGACCCGGGAGAAACACACAAAGAAATATATAATGCAGCACAGAATAGGAATGGGGGAAAGCCAAAGATCCCAGGAAAGAGAAAATTGATTATCAAAGACACCACAAAGCCAAACCTATCCGCAGACCCCGAATGCAAAAAGCGATTGATCCCAAAGCAGAGAAAAAAGCACACGAAACATTACAAAAAGGTAGTCCCTGGAAAGGAGGGAATGGAGAGAGGGAAATAGACCCGAATCAATTAAGAATTGCTTTTTCCGAGCAAAAGAAAGACAAAATAATGCAGCCAAGAATAAGCACAAAGCCATCTAAAATTGAAAAGGAAATATCATTCGTCGTCAACATCGCCCAGGTCCTGATCATATATAATGATGACGCTCGACCTGGGGAGGAGCAGATACATAGTGGGGATGATAGGGATGTGAATTAGACGTGTAGTCTGAAACAGCCATCAGTGGATTTACCAACTGTGGCAGTCGGCGCACTTGAGCTTGCTGCTGCTGCTGAGCTTGCTGCTGGTGATGCTGCTGCTGTTGGTGCTGCTGCTGCTGTTGGTGTTGATGTTGGTGCTGCTGCTGCTGTCGCTGATATTGGGCGAACTGATTCGACGGGGTTGGGCTTTGATGCATCATGGTCGACGATTGCAAAAGTGACGACGGCTGCGGTGGAGGATCAGGCGCCTCCCATCCCCACTTTTCTTTAAGTTCTTTGTACACGAAATTGACCCTCCATCCAGTTTCCTTCTTAATTTTGGTGAAGATTTCGAGAACCTCTTCTTGCTCCCGACGAACAGTGAGGCACTCGGCTGCGATTGCAAGCGATCTCAAGGCAACGCTCGCAACCCCCCTGTCTTTAACATGGGCCGCAATTCCGCAGATTAAGTGAGAATTAGTCATCTCCATATTGCGCATCTCATCCGACTCTCTTGGCATGAAGGGATTCATCTGAGCCAACAAAACCATGGCGGTATGGTAGAACAGGCGAGCCACGATGGCGCACCTCTTAACAAGCCAAACCTCAGGAAAAGCGGACCCCGTGGTTGTCCGGTAAGAGTGCAGGTATGCCATAGGGTGCATACTGCGAGGTATGTGGTCATTCCAAGCAACGCAAAGATCCCGAAGGCGCTTCCACTCCTCGCAGCGCTTTTGTGTCTCGCTGTTCAAGTACATCTGCTCGGTAACAGTTTTGGCTTCTTGCTGCTGTTTGGGGAGGGCAGCCCTGAAATTGGCAATCTTTGCTAGGACGTAAATAATCCGATACGCCCATAGTTCTTCCCTTCCTGGCTCACAGTATCGGTTAAAGTCCATGTCCACCCCCCACTCATCTGGCTCCCAGGCCACTGCCCAATTGAAGTGCAAGCAACTGAGCAATTCCATGCTCACGTTCAACCAAAAACAGGCACCCCCTACGCCCCCTGTCCTTGCGCTCCACCTGCACTCCTTCAGAAGCGCCCGGGCACCCGCAATATGGTTCATGCGTTGAAGCGCTCGTTCAGACATAATCTCATAAACATTAAGGATAACCGCTGTGGTTGCGCACATCTCGGTATCGCGGTTAGGATTCTGTAAAGAAGCCAAAAGAAGTCGTGTAGCTGTATCGTAGTAATGTAGGGCCTTGTCTTCGTGATAAGCAGGGTTGACAAGCGTCAGATGACGGGCCCCGCAAGCCAAGAAGGCATTGAGAAGCATTGGCTCGTTCAAAGAAGAAAATGGCAATAAACGTGAAAACTAAATTAGGAACAATGTTAGCATGAAGCCTCCATTTTTGGGGATTTTTGGAAGGAGCGGTTACATGTTTGTATGGATCCATGCTGTCCATCCATATTCCAACTTCTTCGACAAAAACCTGCATAAACAGAGTTTCCTCAGCACTACTCAGATAATTCCGCACCTCTTTCGGTGGTGGGGGTGGAGACATTGTATGGTCCGAATTTATAGTAGATGATGGCGGAGGTGGAGGCGGAGGTGGGGGAGGAGCATATGCAGGATACCCCTGCCTATGATGCGGCTTCACATCCTCAAAATTATTGGCAGGTTCTCCTGTGTGCACTGGGGTTGGCAGAAGCGGGAGAATCGGCGGGAGAGTGGGGTGAGGAGCGGGGGCCGATGTAACGGTTGTAACAGTTGCCGTTTGTCGGGGGGTAGGGGGTGAGTTTCTTGTAGGTTTTGGCGGAGTCACACGAGCGAAGGCTGCATACCGACTAATACCGCCGGCGTACTCAGAAGCAATGTCCCTCGACTCGTCCTGAAAATGCACTGTAGATACGGCAATGTCAGCGCACCGGTTATATTTCGGCGAAGGGGTTATAGAGCTTACCCTTCCATTCGTGTGATATCGGAACCACGGGAGGTTGCTCGGTCTGGATGTCAATAAAATTAAGGCGTACACCGCGCTTACATATCCTGCTGGATTTCCGACAGTTCTGAACCAGCGTTAGCCAAAACCGTTGTTTCGCTTCGAAACGGCAGAATCACGGGGAAAAACGAACCTGACAATCAGGTGTTCCTTCATCGCCTATGGTGGCAATGTCAGCAAATAATATCTCGGAAAATTAGAAAATGGTGCGAAAGAAGACAAACATTTTAGGTGACGTTCCCTGTGAAAATATATTAGTTATTACTCGCGAGAATTATCAGACGGTAACAGGTGGGGGGCTCAGTAAGCGTACCTGCAAGTAAGGCTAAATGCGTGAAGGAAAAAACCCGTATTAGCTAGGAACCTCATGGGTTAAGTAGTAAAGGTGCAGATCTTACCATCCTACAAATTAAAGATAGTCGGTCAGTAAATTATTGAAGGGTCGACCAGCAAGAAATCATGTAAGAGATGAATTACCTGTCCGCACTCGCTTTGGCCTGTTGACGACGGCGTTCTCATCCGCAGCCATCAATCCTGCCCCTCTCTTCACCCCGACGCGCAGTTCGGCCAGGCGATTCGTCTTCTTCGTGCTGAGTCGGCGCGAAGAATCGGCGCCGAACGGCTTCGACAGAAGATTCTGCCTGGGTTGTGAAAGCGTAGCGACCGACGTGGTGACGGGTTCCAGTGCTGGTAATGAAAATACCAGCTGGTTGGGAGGGCGTTCGTTTCTATGGGGCGGGGGATGAGAAGGCTTTTAGACACAAAGGTGCCGCGTGTGCCCTTTCCTTTCTTTTCCTATTCAATGATGATGGTGGTGATGATACAGGCAAGTACTACCCTATTCAGATGCGATAGATCCGGTCCTCGGGCTGTGCGTCAAGCTGATTTGCTTTGTTTCTTCTTGCCCTGCTCTTGCTTGGACTTCCTATTGATTTTCTCTTCCCTTCCCTTCCCTTGCTAGCACCAATGTCCACTCTTCCTGAGCTCCCTTCACGGCCTGTCACGCTGGTTTTCGGATATCTCTTGCCTTGTCCTCTTTCTCCAATACGAATGATATGATAGCAGTGAACCGTTAATAACGTGGCGTCATACGGTCGTGTCCACTAGGTCGAGCCGTCAAGTGAGCTGTCCTGTGTATTGGACGTTCAAGCCTTCTATATTCTCGTTTTCACGCACTTTCGTGGTCTCTAATCTGAACTGTCCAACTGTCGTCTCCAGGTGTCAACCCCACAAAGCACAGACCCACAAAATGCAAAATCGGTTTTCCTATGGATCTTCTTATTGTGGGGAGCCAACGATAGCTTGTGGGCGAAAGAAAGGAAATGTGAATTGATGATTCGAGCTAAGAGAAGTCTTTTTTTAAAAAAATGCGCTGTATGTAATGGAAGCTTTGGTGACTTGCTAAATATTATAAAATTGAGGTTGGGTGGAATGGAAGTTGAATGGGGAAATAGGCGTAGGAAAGAAGATGGAGGTTGTAGGAAGATGATAGTCTAGTTGCTATGTATGATAGGATCACGCGAGAAGACTCGAGAAAGCGGTGGGTAAGTTTTTTCGTCTCGGGACCTTGACAAGGGTGAATACGTAGGGACGAATGGGGGAAGGAGGGAGGGGGAGGAGGGGGGGGAGGGGGGGAGGTTCTCTAACAGAAGCGAGAAAAAAATTGAGGAGCAGGAAGGAGTAAGGGGACGAGCTGGGTAGATATGGGTTAATGGTTCCAGCTGAGTGACAGAATCCACCGGGAGGTTTCTGATCTAATTCTTTTGCTCGCTCTTCCTCCCACCCCCCCCGCGCCCCCCACCCCCGGTCACTTTTTTTCTCGCAGTTGCTCTATTTGCGGGATCCCTTGTAATGGTCTAGCTGGGTACTGGTAGGGGAACCCCGCTAGATTCTTTTGGAAATAGAAGATGAGAGGTAATGGAGCGGAGCTGTGTCGTGCTTGGACGTTAGTCCCTTCAAACTGCGGATTTCATGGCTTTGTGCAGGCTCCTGGTGGAGATCGCCAACCAAGAAAGAAGGAACATGAATAGACCGTTCGTTTGGTATCCCATTCCCACCAAATGCAATATTCTAGATTGAGGGGTCGCGCGTCTATGCAGAGAACATCTCTAACGAACGCCTTGTCAATCCTAAGCGCTCTCAGTGCTAGTATGGCAGGCTTCACTCCCCTCCACTAGGACACACCCCTCCACCACCACCACCACCGGCACTGCTGCCCCTTCCTCTCTCTCTTCCTCTGTAATAATGCTGACAGCGGCGAACAAAAAAAGCAATCCATACACCATTGAGCAAGAGCACGAACGTGTATCGTGTTTGTTTATGTATCTAGTACTGTGTGTGCAACATAAATTGCTTATTATGAGAGTTACCAGCTCTCTAACTGCAGTCGCTGAGTATCTTCTACCAAAGAAACACCCTCAACTCCCCCTCCACCCTGCTTCGTCTTTCAATTACAGGTACGCATTTACCTCCCCGCCACCCTGTATGGCTCCCCCCAGCAAATATTTTTAAGACTTCCGGCGCTCGGCGACAGCTGCGTAGACAGAGCACAGCACCATGTATGTCATGGGTTATTGTGCCTAGCTTTTCTTTACTTAGATCTACAATGCCCATGTCCCAGAGGCACTGACAACACCAGCGGCAAAATGTTTCTTTAGGGTCTTCGCTGTTGAAGCTTGAAGGGGAAAGAACCGTTAAGCTGGGACCGAGCAATTAGCATGTCTCCGTCACCTGAGAGGCTGTGTGGGAGATGCTTTTGGTAGTTGTTAATGCTTTGGGTGGGTTGTTGAGGCGGTGCAAAGCGGGACGCCCGCAAAATTTAGGATGGGCCCAAAACAGCCGTTGCCGGGTTAATTCTTATGGGATGACAGCAATAACGTGGCTCACCAAGATAGAAACGCCTGCATGTTCATCCTGGCGAACGAGAGGGTAAGTGAAGTGAAGTGAATTGACTGGGGACTTGGGTGATGTGATTTAACGACCGCGAAGAGGCTGAAAACAGAAGGCTTAGGTGAGTTTTCGCCATGAGCTCTCGTCCACAGTAAGGTAGCGCCATAGCATCCGGTTGGCCATCGCACTGTACGAGTACACTTTGCCGTACCTGGGGCTGGATGATGACGGACACGACAATTTTGCAAACGTGAGCATGGGTGCTGTGGTCTTGTATTTCATTTCACTGGACTGGCTTATTCAGTCGCGATGGTGGCAGGTGGTAGATACTTGTATTATCTGTAGTTCATGCTCACTATGAAAAAACGTTCCAATCCACTTTATTCTATAGTCCACTCCTTGACGGAGTACAAGTGCTCCTTATCCCAAGTATCGAGCGGAGCTACCGTATAACATTTGTGCCACACCATAACTTACACTCCTATCCTCGATTGTGATACAATACACCACCGTCCATAGACTTCCAATACTCGAGTACAGTACGGAACTGTCCTTGGGGACTTTATTCATCTCAATGGATGCACAGAATCCCCGTGTACCGCCACCCATCATCCATGTTTAACCCCCCCTCTCTGGCCATGGTTGGTTCTATTGCACGGTATTTCGGGTATGATTCGGCCGTACTGGTGGTCTATGATGGCAGTAATCGCTGATCAATGCTATTAGATCACTGGCTCCCCGGGGGTTCCCGACAACAGCACGGTACTGTAAGCACTACGGTTTTCAAGGTGTGCATCTAATCAACATCATCCTGGGCTTTTGGCTTCAGCCCACTTTTCCGATTGCTTGACACCACCGCACAACCTTTTCTCTCTCCCTATTCCTTCCCATCACTCTAAGACCCCTGTCTGGCCGCTGTCATTATCTGCAAATTTCCGCTCTTGGAGGCGGAGAGCCTCACTGCGGCCCGCGGATGGGGGATCCCTTCCCCGGACGAACCCTCTCTAAGTTAATCAAGGAATACCGGTAACGTTACGATATCAGACGATCGCACAAAAATCATTTGACTGATCCCGCGTGCGACATACAGTACGGTACTGGTACTGTACATAGGAATCCCAGAATTCTAGCACACTGGACGATGGCGAAATGGAAAACACATACGAGAGATGCAAAATTTTGTTTCCACAAAACACGGTGCTCACCTCAAGGTGATTTTCCTCGATATGACATATCTCTCGCAATTGCAGTAGAAACCCCCAGAGCCGTTATTAGGGAAATACTGGGAATGGAGAGGAGGTTTTCAATTCCTATGCGAGGGGGTAAGCTACCGCTATTACTCGCAGGTATTACGTGTTAGACAAGATGTTACCCATACATGCATTGACAGTTTGGCGATTGATGTTCGGGGTGGGATGGATGCGACTTTCCTTTCCAGACATGCATCGGAGGATCTTAAAATTTTAGCTTAGGGCGGGAACTCTACGGTGCTCAGATATCATCCACGCGGGATCGCGACTGGCAGTGCTAGTACACGCGCACGATTGATTACAGATATACTCTTTTGTAACATACCGGTAATCTACATTCGAGATGATTCCGGCGTAGGCTAGCGGGGCGCGAGCCATACTCGAGCGGTCTGGTGCTGTGCAGAGAGACGTTATTACCTGCCCAGCGTCCCCCCAGGTTCGAGATTATTGGACGAAGGATGGAACAAGTCAGCTTGGGTGAAAATTGCATCCTGGATTTCCTGGTTGTGCCAATATTACTTGTGCTGAGTGATGACTGCAGGGAGGCTTGAGCCACATTTGCGTTTTTTTTGGCTCTTTAATCCTCGGCGGAAGGACTGCAGGGGCATCCGATTTGAGTTCATCCAACCCCCGTCCTTTTCTCGCCGAGCCATGGGAATGAGTGGTTATTCTCGCTGAAAATAGAGCAACTCCTACCGTCTAAAAAAAAAAAAAAATAGCTGGGGAAAAGAAAAAAATGGGAGGAAGATTGAAGATGGATGGACGGAGTTCATGCAGAAACCCCCAGCAGATCTTTCCCCTGTACGACGCAATCCGACGAGATGGTTTCATTGCTTCGTCAGTTAAAGTACCGGTACGACACCCTCGTACCTCCCCCTCCTTCCAGTTCCCCCACACGTAGGTTCTGCACATGCGTTTTGAGGCTGAGTGAAGCAGATATTCCGAAGCGATCTTCCCCCTGGGGCCTTGGGAGTCTTGTGAAAAAGGATGTTTCACTGACAAAAGAGACTGGCGAGC